TGGTTTGTAGGTTGATGCTCAACCACTAAGCTACGCCGGTCAGGCTAATCATGTATCATTTTTAGTGCTCCCTATTTTTTATTGTGTTCTCCTGTGAGAAAGCAAACTCCTGTGTTTATTTGCATTCCCAGCCCTTAGCACAGTTCTTGGCACTGTGCTCAAGAAATATGTGAGAAGGAAAAGAAGGGAGGAGAAAGGAAAGGAAAAAAGGGAAATGTGCTCTGGGGTCCAAGAAAACATGGACCCCAGAAAATATGAAAAGACATTCTGTCTTCTATTTCTTAGCAAAAATCCCCTGTTACCGTCTATAGTTGGATCCTATGGAGGTTCCCATGGTATAATATATTAAATTTTAACCAATCTTAAAATATCTATTTAACACAGTGGAAAAAATGAGTAGGGTGGAAGCTTTGCTTGTCTACAATGTTGAGTTTCTGCCCCAGAAACTTCTGGTAGTCCCTGATAACAGTCCTGTAAGGGGTGCCTGTTATTCCCCTGCTCTGTTCATGTTCTTTTGAGTACAGCAGTAATATGAGAGCTTTTACCACAGTGACAGAACTTCAGCAAGCAAGTTGAAGGGTGGTAATTTTACACAACTGCCTTTCTTAGAGGTCCTGGCAACAACTTCCTTTTCCTCAGTGTGAGCTGATGGCATAGTCACTTCCTATTTGGTCTCAACTGCCAGTTTTTTTCCTGTTTTTAACTGCCACCTTTGACTAGAACTGTTTTCTTGAGAAGCCTACAAATTAAAGAACAAGTGGTCAATTCAAGACATTTTAAAAAGTTAATTCAGAGGGGAAAATATCACCCAAATTGTTTGCTTAGCATCATTTCATGGAAGCACATGAAAGGTTCCCCTGTGACTAAAAACTGCACACTGAAGAGCAAAAAGAAGTTACCTGACTTCATTACAAGGAGTCTAGTCACCCAAAGACTCTGTTCTAAGAAACTCCCCAGTCTCTTCATGTCCCTCCTTGGCAACACAAAACTATCATTATGGGATGACTGGTGTACAGACAGTGGTTTTGTCACCACTGAAGCAACTATGAGTACATTTAGACTTCTGAAAGCTTACCTTGGGCCCACAGCATTTAAAGATCAACAGTGCAATTCTGTGAGAGTTTAGGCAGGCAGAAAACTGAAACCAGGAAGATTCTCTTAACATTGCATCTTTTGACTCCTACCTCTACATCTGAATGAAATTGTCTGGACCATGTTTTCCTCTCTCAGTTTTGCAACCAATTTGTAAAGGCAAGAAATTATGAGCGCCTTGATCTTTTTGGTCACTAAATGCAAATATTTCGAAGTGAGTAAGCATATATGTAAAGAAATGTTATAAGCAGGAAACCCCCTAAGCAGCATCTGCTTCCCCCCCCCCCACCTCCTCTGTTGCTCTAGTCACCTCAGTAACATCAGGAAGTAAAGTTAGCAAGAAAAATTTTGTTATAAAATTGTTTTGTTGTTTTAAATTATACTTTGGTATTGCGCAATCCCAAAAAGGTGCAAGGTTACTCAGGAGAAGCAATCACATAGGTTTAATGCTCCTTCACCAAGCATCAATTCAATAGGTTTTCCCTGGGGATGCTTTGCTAGAACAATAGCAAGGATACAACATCTGCAAGAACTATTATACCATGGTTTCCAATTTGATACCCACAGAGAGTAAAGAGGAGATCTGAGGCATCAAACATGCATAGATAGATAGATAGATAGATAGATAGATAGATAGATAGATAGATAAAAGGGACTCTTAAATGTTGTCCTTCCAAATGTTAATAGAGTCCAGTAACTTTAATGAAAATATTCCTATGACTGGATCATGAGCTTCTAGAATTACTCAGATAAGTTCCTTTAATTTTAAATAAACAGATAATTAAAAGAAATCCAAATGACTGTATCAATTTGCTCTTAAACTTCATACATTTATATAATTTGTACACTCAAATTAGTTATTAGGCTCAAAATATGAAAGTCCAAAATGTGAAAACCCACCTTTAAATTTTGTAAAGTGGAATAAGAAGTCAAATTTATCTCAGTTAGGTATCACCTTTGAATGTTCCTAGCTAATGCCTGGTACATTAGAATATGCTCCATGATTATACATTTTTTAAACAAATCATTACATTTTCTTAAAGTTATTTTCTGTTCAATATTATTTTTCATTAAGTAGTATTCACTCTTTGGGGCAGATGATCTTTGATTTAATACAAAAGTAATATAAAAATACTACTTTGTTTCCAGTACCCCCTTGATGCAGCCCAGTATCTTGTGGGTTTTGTTATTGTTGTTTTGGAAGAAGAACAGCCACCACATTGAACTGAAATCCTCAGGGAACAGTAATCCCTAAGTCTATTTCTTGGCTAGTGACCCCTAATCCAAAGAGTATGAAACATGGATTTTCAAGCCTTGGCACCATTGACATTTTGGGCTGGGTAATTCATTGTTGTGAGGGCTGTCATGTGCATTGGAGGATGGTTAGCAGCATCCCTGGCCTCTACCCACTACAAGTATCACCCTGTCCTAGACACTGAGGATACAGTGATGATCCAAACTGACAAGAATGTTGCCCACTGAGTGTTGGCATCCTACCTGAATAATTCTTATGTAAGAGAAGTTGGAACTCTGGCCTCAGGGACCTAATAATCGTGTTAAGCAAACTAAACAAACGAAATGCATAAAATAAGAGCAAAACTACAATGTGAGTGCTGCTTCCACTGACATGCAATAGGAGAAATGTGTGGGAGGGCATTGAGCAACAAGAAAGCCTCAATGGGGAGGGTATTTGAGATGAGCCTTACCTGATGGAACTTGATTCAGACCCTTGTTACTCAAAGTGTGGTCTAAGGATCAACAGTATTGACACCACCTGTGAACTTGTTAGCACTGCAGAATCTTGGGCTCACTCCACAGTTGCTAAGTGAAAATCTGCACTTTAAAGATAATCCCAGGGCATTTCTATGGACATTTAAGTTTAGGCCACACTGCAGGTTTCTTGTCAGTGTGGCATTATTAAGTGTATGCTGAGCTAGTGGAAATAGAGACTGGATTGGGAACTATCATCATATTAGAAGTAGTGAGGGCCTGGACTTGGGAAACAAGGAGTAAGGGAAATGCAATTATATTTTTTATCATCTGAATGGATAAGAAAATGTGGTGTATATACATTAAATGAAATATTACCCACCCATAAAAAGGATGGGAATCCTGCCATTTGCAACAATGTGAATGGATCTTGAAAGCATTTTGCTTAAATGAAATAAATCAGACTGAGAAATACAAATATGTGGAATCTAAAATATACCATATTTAGACAGAGAGTAGATTGGTTCCAGGGGCAGGAGATGAGGGAAATTGGTGAAGGTGGTCAAAGGGTACAAGCTCCCAGTTATAAGATAAATAAGTTCTGGGGATCTAATGTACAGCACAGTAACTATAGTTAACAATACTATTTTGTATACTTGAAATCTGCTAACAGAATAGATCTTAAAAGTTAGAGGTACCTGTGTTTTAATTCCAAGCTTCACCACTTTTTAATTGTGTGAAATTTTACATCAAATTATTTAACCTGCCCAGCCAGGGTGACTCAGTGGTTGAGCTTTGACCTATGACCCAGGAGGTCATTGTTTGATTCCTGGTCAGGGCACATGCCTGGGTTGTGGGCTTGATCCCCATTGTGGAGTGTGCAAGAGGCAGCTGATCATTGATTCTCTCTCATCATTTATGTTTCTCTCACTCACTCACTTCCTCCCTGAAATCAATAAAAAAATATTTTTTTAAAAATAAAATTATTTAACCTCACTGAGCCTTTTTTAAAAATCTGTAAAATGTGTGTGTCGGGGGGGGGGTGCTATATGACCTCAGAGGGGCCTTGTAAAGATTCAACAAGGTAACACTTATAGTATTTAGCAGTCTCTGGTATAAAGGCAATGACATCCATTAATAGTAATTCTGATAACCATAATAGGCTATCTTTTGAGAAAGATTCAAAAGGAACAAAAGAAATATTGAGCGTCTATTGAGCCCCAACATTATGTTGTGTACAGACCTATAACAACCTGCAAGGTAGGGAATTTCATCCTCATTTTAAACTAGCACTTGGATATTACATTTTTAAAATATAGGTAACCCCTGTGGGTTCTCAGAGGTCCCTTCAGAAGTAGATTCCTGTAATTGTTATTATCATTGTTACTGTTATTATTAGGGTACTCTCAAACGAGCTTTACTCCCTCTTGGAGTGGAACCTAACATGGGGTGGAGGCAGGGAGTTGCTAAAACCACTGCTGTGTATGCTGAGTTCACTAATATGTACTGCTACTGATCCAATCTCATTGCCCATACCTCCATTATTCTCATTAAAATTTCTGCGGATGAATCATCTATTTTCTAACTTACCTCTCTCTTACACCTGCAGAATGTGGTGAAGACAACACCTAGTCTGGCTGCCCCCCACCAAATGATAGCACAAGAGGTAGGGGTAGCCTCAGGTTTAAGTCACCTGAAGCATGTCTGGGGGCAGGGAATCCGGAAAGCAGGAGAGTGGTTATGGATCTGCCCCAAGGCGTGAGGGCCCCAAGCTGGGGATACCGGACTCCGGGACTAGGCAAGGGTCCACTAAATCGGTGGCTCTCTGTGCACCCACCCTTGACCAGATCAGGATGCCAACACTCCCCAAGTTTCAACTCAAGAGGTCTCCCAGGCTTCGTGTGCCCCAGCCTTGCACGCCTGCCTGCAACGTGGCCGCGTCTGGGACGTCCTCTTACTCCCAGAGTCACCCAAACTCTTCCATTCTTTGTCCAGGCCGAGCTGTGTTCCAGGTGCCCCAGTCCCTGGGTTCTCCCCTCCGAGTGTCTGGAGAGTCTCCACCCTCTCAAGCTCCAGCAACCCCCTGCAAACCCCTTCACTCAGAGTCTTAGTTCTTCTGACACCGCCCGGCTGTGGGGCGGGGGCAGGGCCAGTGGTGGAACCGCCCCCAACCGCCTCCCGGGCCAGCCCAGCCAAGCGGGCGGGTAGCTGGGGCGCCTCCACCTCCTCTTCCTAAAGCGGCGAGGCGCAGACGAGCGGCATCACTGGAGCCCAGGTCCCAGCCACCGCCACACACAGCGCCCCGAATTAAGGAGTAGGAGCACCAGCAGAGGCGGCGGCAACAGCGGCCGGGGGGCGCCACAAAGGTAGACTGAGTCCCAGGGAGTCCCGCCGCGAAATGCCCACCTCCCAGCCCGTGGCCGCGCGCCACTAGCCCAGTAACCCCACTTCTGTGTGTCCTTCCAGGCCCGGGTCGAAAAGCCTGGGAGGGCCGCAGAGCTACCCCTGGAGGAGGAGCCAGTCCCAGCCCAAGGCGCCACCAGCACAGAAGCCGTGCGGAGTAGCAGTCGCTTTCATGGCCCACTCACCGGTGGCTGTCCGAGTGCCCGGGATGCAGGTGAGGAAGCCCAGGCCGCCCCCGACACCCACGTGACTGCCTGGGCGCGCTCCGCTTTGGGCACTGGCCTTGAGGCGGCCCCAGGGCTCCCCTGAAGGCAGGGCCGGCGCTCTGGCCAGGTGACCTGGGAATTGGGCTCTAAGTGTTTTCTGGTGTTCAGGCTCGGCGGTGCACTGTGCTGGGAAGGCGGGGAAGGACTGGGGCGCTCGTCGATGTCGGGATGGGGGTCGGTTATAAAAATAGGCCAGAGTGAGACACCTGCGCCTGCTGAGGGTGGTACCCTTGGGCACTGGAGGAGGGAGAACTTAACTTGGGAAAGGCGGAGGTGCCTCCGAATCTGTGGGATAAAACGCAAGTTGTGTCTACTCCTCCCCTTCCCCCCCCCAACACATAAAAGTTGGGGCGGAGCAAGACTAGGGGGTGTTGTTGGCAGCGACATTGAATTGGGCTCTTCCTGTGTGCATAGAGTGAAGAGCGAGGTGACTTCGTTTCCCTTTTTGGTGCAGCTTAAAGGCGAAGTTGTATCTCGCTCCCCCACCTGGCCCAACCCATAGTTCTGTGTGAGAAATGCAGGATCCCATATCAGAGTCACCTAGGAGATGACTCTCTAGCCCCCTCCTCTGCCTTTCCCACAAGATGACTGTTGCATGTGGTTAAAGGAAGCTTTTTGTACTGGATAAGGGACTGTTGCATGAGACCCAACTTCTTACTGGAGATCTACCCAGCCCCCTTATTATATTTTCATTTTATTAAAGAAGAAGTAGCTATATCCATACTTTTTATGTTATTACTGTTTTTAATCGGTGCATTTCAAGCTATCTACTAAATGTTATCCAAGTCTACTAACTTTTAAGCATTCACGTTTTTTTTTCCTTTGTCACATAGCCTAAACAACCTACTTATATAGAGAGACCAGAAACACTAAAGCCTCAGTCTCTCATTATTTTCTAAAAATGTGAAAGCAAACTTTTTCCAAGTTCAAAAATTTTTTTCATTAGTAAATAGCTTATATTTCATTAGGGCCTCAATGTACTGCTAATTGATGCATGAAATTCATCTCTTTTTTTTAAAAAACAATCGGTCACATTTTATACACGGTCACAAAAAAAGTTATTTTTAAGATACTCCCCCCAAAAAATGACTGCTTGTGTTAGACATATATCTAATCTAAGGGCTCCAGTGTGTCCTAAGCACAAGGCCATTTAGCTGAGTAAACTATAGAGCAAGTCTAAGTTGAGTCCCAGGAAGTCTGTGTGTATTTAATGAAAATGAGAGGAAGAAAAGGGGAAAATAAGAAATATTAGGGCTTCTAAAAAGGTTAATCCATTCAAGCTTTACAAAATGCCCCCCCATTATTTTTTCTTTTCAGGACACCCCCTCATCCCTCCCGCTTTCCCCCATGGGCCCTGCCCCACACCCCATTCATTCAGTTCTGCCTTTGATTGTATTAAGGGAATTAGTAGTTTGCAACACTACAGTTTTGCTCTGTCTAATGTGGCAGAAAGTGTGAAGATTTTCTCACAGTACCTTTCTTTCCACTATGTGGAGAGAAGATCTTTACAGAAGTAAAGTTTGTCTCCGAGGGTTTCCAAGCCTTTCTCTCCATTGTGTGCTGGAGAGTCTGCTTGTATTTGTCACCAGAGTGAGTGCCTCCCCTTCACCAAGTTTGTGATTATGAAAATCTCTGTGTGCTGGAAAAATCTGTGTACTAAGGAGAAAATAGTTTCTGGGGTTTTTTCATTTGTCTTGACTTTATTTAATTTATATGGTTTCTGGTCCTTATTTGATTTGTCTTTATTTGATTTATATGGTTTAGGAACTGCTTGCTGTTCAGTATTTCTTACTGCTCCCAGCTTTGTTGAATTATCTGAGTTCCCTATCTCTGGAATTTCTAAATGTTAATTAAAATGGTTTAGACTGTGAATCATGTATTTTAAATGACAAATTCTATCTTTCACTTTACGCTTTCCCAAAGTTGTGATTACTTTGTTCAACTAATTTGGAGAGTGCAATCATCTCAATATTAGCAAAGAAGAGAGAAATATTTTTTGTCACTTTCTCTGTCTTAATAAAAATGGTAAATTCTTAACTTCTTATTTCCATTTTCTTGTAGAGGTGGTTTTTAAGCATTTGGTGCAACACAAATGTTTTCCACAGTTAAAATTGTACAGTACTCTAAAAATAAATTTGACGGCGTGCAGTGTGGCTTGAGCCTAGATTTCTTTTACTATTCTTCTGTTCAAAAATATTGCAGATGAGATGCAGAAATATATCATGAGCTTTTGAAATTCCCCTAGAGTTTTGTTAAAGAGTTAGGAGTAACTTTTAGACCTTTAGACTAGTAAGAAAACTTGGATTAGCCATGTGTTCTTGAAATTAATGTATAGTAAGTATTTCCACAAATCAGGATGAAGTGGTCGCCTGGCCTATAACTTTTTAACAGTTTATTTTAGAGAATTATGAAGATTGATGGAAAAAATGATTTTTCCAGAAATAAAAACAAAATTACTTTATCCACAGTGTTTTTCTCCCCCTCACCCCCCACCCCAGGAGAGACGTGAAGTAGAAGCTGAGCTACCTGTTCTATCACTTAAGACTTCCAGCATTCCTGACTTTCAAACAAAGAAATTTCTGTTGCGACTAGTTTAAAATAGAAAAGAAACTTGGAGTGACGAAAGAAAACCCAGGATTTGGTCCAGTTTAAACTCTTCCTTATGAATTAGTTATTCAAACTCATTGTTGATATTTCTTAATATTGTGGTAATGAACATTTTTGCCACATTACACCAAAGTCGAGGATATGAATTTTTTGTATTGAATTTGTGCTTTACTTCTTTAGTGTATAACTAAAGGAATTTTCCATGCCAAGAGCTAAACTCTTGAAAAATATTTAAAGCACAGCTTTTTTATAGCAAAACTTTTTTTAAAAAATGAACCAATAAACCTGTTTCTTTCCACTGAAATATTTACTCTTTAACGGTTTAAAACATGTTTTTTTCTTTGAAGTTTTTAGTTATAAATCATACTTAAGTTTAAGTTATTTCCCCTTAGAACCTGCATTAGTATTTCTAAAGACAAGTATTCTACACTGGTTGTTAAATATTTTATAAAATGTAAGTAGGAGAATAAAGTTAAATGCTGAATTGGAGTACTGTTATGTTGTGTTTATGTTATTTCTCTTGTGAAATAATTTTTAAGTTCTTACTAAAGAATTTAAAAATTAGCTTTCATGTATCTTTAAATGGGATCAAGTTGGTACTATTTTTGAATGACTTGAGCTTTGAGGTTTGAGATGGAAATTATGTTTAAGGATTAATGAACACTTTATTGAAGGCTTCTAAGAGGTAGAAAACATTGGCTTGCATTGGTGAACTTAGTTACTGGGTTCTGGGAAGGATACAGAAGTATATATACTAAATGCTCTCTACCTTTGAAAATCTTAAAATGTCAGGGAGTTAAATCTAACACATGAAATATCAACTATTGCAAAATATGTGATACATACTCTATAATAAAATTTTCTGAGTGGAAGAGTTGAAGATTTACAGATGATAAACTGACCCCAAAGGATTGTTGTTAGGATCTATATTGGGGAAAGCATTTCCAAGCAGAGAAAAAATCTGAGAAAATGCTTGTAGACAGGGAAGGGCACACCTGCCAAGTATGTGTGTGCACACAATCTTTGAGAGTGGGATAAAATCACTTGGACTATGATGAAGAATTCCTCTAGAGAAATAATAGAAGGTAAAATTGGAAAAATTTATTAGGTCCAGATTATAATGGTTCTTGACTTTTAAGGAAGGATTTTGGCCTTTGGACTAGCCATTATACATTTCTGAATAAGGGAAATGCAATGAACAAAGTTATATACAGGAAGAGCAACCTCAACATTGGATGAATGGATGACCTGGAGAATTGAGAGACTTGAGGCCATTTGATCTACTGAGGCTATTTCAGTGGGGCAATCATGTCTGTCCAGATTCAATGGACCTTGCATTACCTGCCTTCCATATGGCTAGTACTATGAAGAAAAAATATATGATTACCAGCTTTAATAATTAGCCAGTTAAAGAAAGAGGAATATAAGCTTTTGTGGTGTCTAATATGGGGAACTGGGAGAATTATGATATATTTTAAATAATTGGAAAGTCACGGAGAAGAGCCAGATCTAGTAGGAAGTTAGTGATTTCTGTTTAAGGGGAAATATCTTCAATTTAAGTATGGTTTATAACTGAAAACTTCAAAGAAAAACATGTCTTACATCATAAAAGAGTAAATATTTGAGTGGAAAGAAATAGGTTCGTTGCTTTACTTTTTAGTTTCTGTTAGGTTTGAGGTAACAATGGGATGACAAAGTTAAAATCTAGAACACATCTATTATCTTGACTGTGGTGATGGTTTCACACATGCATGCTTATGTCAAAACTCATCAAATTGTATACATTAAATTTATACATTTTTGTATATCAATATGCCTCAATTACGCTGTTTTCAAAAAATGTTCAACAAATACTTGAAAATGTAGACTTTAGTCATTTATCACACATTTACTAAGCATTTACTATATGTCAGTCTCTTTTCTTGAAACTGAAGAATATGAGCCACCAAGGAGGGAGAGGGTCATAATGACAGAGAGAATGTTTAAGTGAGGGCACTCATGAGATAGGAAGTATAGGTGAAGGATCAGCTTGTAAGGAAAGGACCAGTGACTTTACGGTGCATGGAAGGAAGAGAAAATGTGTCAGGATCCAGAGGGAGTTAACTGAGGGGAATTCTTTAACTTTCGCTCTCATCATGAAACCTAAATTGGAGAAAACGATTTTGGTTTGGTGCCAGAATCTAGTATGTGAAGTTCTAACCTCCCTTGTACCTTCCGAAGGTAATAATCAGTTTTGCAATTTGAGGTAAAAATGGAAAGCATTGCCTTGCATTGATTAAACTCAAACCATTGTCCTAGTTGGTGAGTGGTTGATACAGAGATGTTGAATATGCTAATGATA